AAGCTACGTTCACATCAAGCCCGGATTCCGGTCCGGAGTCCGGAGAAAAAATCGTGAGAAATGGCTTTAGTGGTAAAGAATAGAAGCGTTCACATCAGAACTGACCGGATCCGGTACAGATTTGCTCAGGAGTTCGGATTCGGAGGAATGGCTTTGAAAGCCATCGGAAAAAAAAAATCGTACGTTTTTTTTATTCTGACCAATCAGCAGCAAGCGCCATTTGACCTCTTGAAAACTTGATAGCCAAACTTTTTACGCTTGTTGTGGATGAGCGGATCGATCGGCACGAGGTAGGCTAGTTAGAAGCTATATTTTTACGTCTATACTTCTTTTATTTATTATTTATTACTGGCTGTAAGTTATAACTTACAGCCAGTAATAGTAGGCATATAACTTAAGTAGTTCATGTCCACAATAATTGCGTCTAGGCCTATCTATCTATCTAGGCCCCCTATGCAGCAACAGACGACAGCTGAGCTAGCCTGCGTATTGCGCGCCCGAGCAGGCCTAGGATAGGAAAGGAGCTTAAAGTACTGTGCTGCTGTTGAATTTTATGAATTCGAGTCAACTCGGCCCTAGTCAACTCGGGCCTAGTCAACTCGGCCCCAAGTAGGATGATAAAATATTATTGATAGGGCCTACTAATCATCATCACTGGCCCTTAAATTATTTATATGAAACAAGAAATTATAATAGGCCTAGGGCCAAGATAGACTTTCATGGCATTCAAATATTATTCATTAATACAGTATATAGTAATATTTGTTTTATTTAGAAATGGAACAAGACAATAAAATGGAAAACCTAATTATCGAGGTGGAGAACAATCCACTTTTATATAATTTGGCTGATAAAAGCTACAAAGATACCAGGAAGAAGTTAGATGTGTGGGAAGAGATAGCCCAGAAGGTTGGCATAGAGTCAGGTAAGCATAGGCCTCATAAATAGAACAAAATAACAGCAGTTAATAAATTAAGTACAGACAAACTGAAAGAAAAATGCTATCTGTAAAGGTATGTTCAGTCAAGCTATGGAGCTACTTTATTATCTAAATTATCCATGGCTGTAATAACATACATGTATCGCATTGTATCAATAGCTGTCTCTTATACACATCTAGATGTGTATAAGAGACAGTCTTTCAACTTGGAACCCCTGAATCAATTGCGTTAACATACATTCAACAAAGACAAAATTACATAACATCACAAAGGATTTTATAAATTCATTTCAAAGCATTGAAAAGTATGATTGAAAGAAAAAATATTGAAATATTTAATACAGTATTACATATATATAGTATTATATATATATTATAAGTTAATAAAGGTTTTTTATTTTAAAATGAAATATAGAATAAAAACAAATTTATGCTTATTTTTAGGTATCACTTGCCTCCACTCCAAATGTAAGCAGTGTGGAAAAAGATCTGGCTAATTTGAACCTTACCCCAGCCAGCCCGGCAAATGCACCTGTCACAACCACAGGCACACCTGTGAATGTGACAAGCCCAGCAATAAACCCAGCCTTGCCTACTGGACAACCAACCATACCTGTTACTGCAGGATCTCAACCTGTAGTCAACAGTGCTGTGTATACACCTACAACAGCATCACAGAATGCACCTGGTAAGCTAATATATTTAACAGTCTGTTTTCCATTGGAATTTGTACTTTCACTGTATTTCAGGTTTTGGGAGCTATTACTTTAATAGAACATATTATCTCTCAGTCACCTATTCTAATACTTTATCATCAACATGATCATCATTATTCATTAATGGCATGCTTTAAGCTACGTTCACATCAAGCCCGGATTCCGGTCCGGAGTCCGGAGAAAAAATCGTGAGAAATGGCTTCAGTGGTAAAGAATAGAAGCGTTCACATCAGAACTGACCGGATCCGGTACAGATTTGCTCAGGAGTTCGGATTCGGAGGAATGGCTTTGAAAGCCATCGGAAAAAAAAAATCGTACGTTTTTTTTATTCTGACCAATCAGCAGCAAGCGCCATTTGACCTCTTGAAAACTTGATAGCCAAACTTTTTACGCTTGTTGTGGATGAGCGGATCGATCGGCACGAGGTAGGCTAGTTAGAAGCTATATTTTTACGTCTATACTTCTTTTATTTATTATTTATTACTGGCTGTAAGTTATAACTTACAGCCAGTAATAGTAGGCATATAACTTAAGTAGTTCATGTCCACAATAATTGCGTCTAGGCCTATCTATCTATCTAGGCCCCCTATGCAGCAACAGACGACAGCTGAGCTAGCCTGCGTATTGCGCGCCCGAGCAGGCCTAGGATAGGAAAGGAGCTTAAAGTACTGTGCTGCTGTTGAATTTTATGAATTCGAGTCAACTCGGCCCTAGTCAACTCGGGCCTAGTCAACTCGGCCCCAAGTAGGATGATAAAATATTATTGATAGGGCCTACTAATCATCATCACTGGCCCTTAAATTATTTATATGAAACAAGAAATTATAATAGGCCTAGGGCCAAGATAGACTTTCATGGCATTCAAATATTATTCATTAATACAGTAATATTTGTTTTATTTAGAAATGGAACAAGACAATAAAATGGAAAACCTAATTATCGAGGTGGAGAACAATCCACTTTTATATAATTTGGCTGATAAAAGCTACAAAGATACCAGGAAGAAGTTAGATGTGTGGGAAGAGATAGCCCAGAAGGTTGGCATAGAGTCAGGTAAGCATAGGCCTCATAAATAGAACAAAATAACAGCAGTTAATAAATTAAGTACAGACAAACTGAAAGAAAAATGCTATCTGTAAAGGTATGTTCAGTCAAGCTATGGAGCTACTTTATTATCTAAATTATTCATGGCTGTAATAACATACATGTATCGCATTGTATCAATAGATAATTTGAATTATGAGATCATAAGTCAAACAAACTTATCGCAAGCTATTTTTTAATAATCTCATGAATAAACACATTTGATTTTTTAATGTGAAATCTCAATAATAATTGTTTAAAGTAATTATTAAACAACTAAATTTAAAATGAAATTAAAACTTTAAAATGGTGAAATTTAATTAATATTCTAATCGAACATAGATCTTATATGCAAAGTACGCAACAAATTATGCAATATACACTTAATTCATACTTTAATACACATCTAATTTTTTTTTCAGGTGAAATTGCCTCAAAAAAATTTCACAACATCAAAGATGCCTATGTGGCGTACTTAAGTAAATTAAAAGTACGGAGTGGTCAAGGACTACAAGGCAAGATTCGGAAGTACAAATGGGCAGATCAACTGCAGTTCTTAAATGCCTTTGTGACTACAAGGAGGTATTAATATTTTTTATTTTTTATTTTGGTACATAAACAACTGAAAATAAACTACAGTAAAATGAGATTTATGAATTAAACTACAAGTTCTTATTAATAAATATAATTTGTTTTACACTCAACTACAGTACTGTAATTATAAAAAATACAAGTTAATTTTGATATAAAAATATGTTGCTACCAAACATTTGTCAAATTAAGTATTGCTGTTAAATAGTACAGTACTGATTTACATTGCATTACAATAAAACAGTTAAGGAACGTCTTATGTATAAATGCATCCATGGCCTTACTCAAGTTTGTTTCTGTAATGAAGTTGAAATGATGTTCGACAGACTTTCACTTAAAAAAGTAAATTAAAAAATCACATAGTGTGCAATTACTAAGTGCATAGGATAAATATAATTTAATATTTGCTGTATTGCAAATTCTGCATTTTATTTTTTTAACATTTGATCACTATTTTAACATCAAGAATTTACTTTATTTGTTAAGGGAAAAAATAAAAGATTTTTTAACCTTATCACTAATTTAATTTATTGTTTTTTGCAGAAGCACTGGAAATTTGCCATCTACTGCAGATGATAAATCTAGCACACTACTACTAAACACTATTCTTGAAGGTGTTGTAAACACTGAAGATGATGATAATGAAAATGATGAAGCGGGTGCATCAACGGCCAATATTGAGCTTGGTGGTATGTCATCACAAATAAAAAGGAAGAAAGTTAAGAATGATGAAGTGAATTCAGCCATAATTGACTATCTTGCCTCCAAATCTGTGTCTAGTAATGAGAAGGATGGATTATCATGTTTCTTTGAGTCAACATTAAAAACAGTTAGGGCTTTTCCAAAAATCAAACAAATTGAAATTAAAAAAATTATCAGCAATGCTGTTATAAACATTGAAGAGGAGCTAGCGCTCAGTGAGGAGTAAGGCAATACAGGCCCTTGATGTATTGCAACACAGATTAATTTTGTAAACAGGAAATCCTCCCTCCTCGATGATTTAAACAGCAAAAGCACTGATAATTTTTTAATCACTATATTCAATAGTCCATTTTACTGTGCACATTAATATTTTGAGTACATTTATATACTTAAATACAATACATAAAATAGATAAGGTGTTGTTATGAAATAAGTCAAGTTGTATGCCAGGTCAAATTGAGATACTGTATTCACAAAATTATACTGAACTGTTTCTTTTTAATGAGATTTTACCGGGTTTAAAAATTTTAATAATTAATTACACAATAGCAAACATTCTGTAATTACTGTATAGTAATTACATAGTACATTTATATACTGAAATACAATACATAAAATAGATAAGGTGTTGTTATGAAATAAGTCAAGTTGTAGGCCAGGTCAAATTGAGATACTGTATTCACAAAATTATACTGAACTGTTTCTTTTTAATGAGAATTTACCGGGTTTAAAAATTTTAATAATTAATTACACAATAGCAAACATTCTGTAATTAATGTATAGGCTTATCTTGAAACTGGGATTGAGGCATATTTTTATGGCAGATTTTTAAAATGTACCTAAGGAAACATGCAAGAAGAAACATTTATATTTTTCGTACAACAAGGCATTTTATAACAACACACATAGCTTTATAAAATGCAATGACAGGTTTAACTGTTGTTTACTTGGCATGGCCAAAACATGCAGAGTTTTGCCATGATACTCTCCCAATCTCAGAATTGAACCATCTTGAAAATTTTTCTCTGACATCAATGGCATCCCTTCCACTATGATATCCTCTGTACTCCAAATTGAGCAGACCATTTTGCTCAGTAATAGGTTCCTCCTCCAGATCAGGATTAAATCCTGCATTACTTGAGTTGGTTTTCCGGATAAAGTTGTGTAGGACACATGTGCATAGTACAACCTTATCGATGTTTTCAGGTTTTAATTCTAACTTTCGGTGGTACATCCTGAATTTGTTCGCTAGAATGCCGAAAGCATTTTCTGATATCCTCCTTGCTCGGCTGTGCCGGTAATTGTACACACGATGCTCCTTCATCAAATTCTTTCCTAAAAAAATACAAAGTGAAATTACTGTACATCAGGAAAAAAAAAAGCTGTTACCCTGTTTTATTCAACTTAAAAGTTATTTTTAAATCCATAAAATTTATAAAACATTTGCCTAAAACACATTTTTAAATAAACACGCCATTAAAATTTGGCTGACTTATTTACCTACCTGGAAATGGCCTCATTAGGTTGTTTTTCAGAGGGAATGCCTCATCTCCTACAATAACGTGGGGCACAAGTCCCAGATCTGGCATTCCTGGCAATTCTTTTGGTGGTGGAATCCCAAGTGAATTTGACTCGAGGGCTAATTTTAAATTCATTCTTGAAAAGATTCCACCATCACTACTCGAACCGTAGTTGCCAACATCAACAAAAATAAAATTGTAGTTTGGGTCAACCACTGCCATAAGTACAACTGAATAGGTTCCCTTATAGTTGTAAAAAAGGGAACCCGAGTTGTCTGGTGCTTTAATCACCACATGTTTTCCATCAATTGCACCCACACAATTTGGAAAATTCCATCTTTCCTTGAATGTAGATGAAATGTCGGCCCATTCCTTTTTACTTCGTAGTGCCATATAAAGTGGCTGGAGCCTAAGCCATATTGCTTCAGCGACCTCAACAACAATTGCACTAATTGTAGATTTTCCAACCCGAAAGTTGTAGTTCAGAGATGCATAACTGTCTCCTGTTGCTGTCTCTTATACACATCTAGATGTGTATAAGAGACAGGTATAGTAATTACATAGTACATTTATATACTGAAATACAATACATAAAATAGATAAGGTGTTGTTATGAAATAAGTCAAGTTGTAGGCCAGGTCAAATTGAGATACTGTATTCACAAAATTATACTGAACTGTTTCTTTTTAATGAGAATTTACCGGGTTTAAAAATTTTAATAATTAATTACACAATAGCAAACATTCTGTAATTAATGTATAGGCTTATCTTGAAACTGGGATTGAGGCATATTTTTATGGCAGATTTTTAAAATGTACCTAAGGAAACATGCAAGAAGAAACATTATATTTTTCGTACAACAAGGCATTTTATAACAACACACGTAGCTTTATAAAATGCAATGACAGGTTTAACTGTTGTTTACTTGGCATGGCCAAAAAATGCATAGTTTTTCCATGATACTCTCCCAATCTCAGAATTGAACCATCTTGAAAATTTTTCTCTGACATCAATGGCATCCCTTCCACTATGATATCCTCTGTACTCCAAATTGAGCAGACCATTTTGCTCAGTAATAGGTTCCTCCTCCAGATCAGGATTAAATCCTGCATTACTTGAGTTGGTTTTCCGGATAAAGTTGTGTAGGACACATGTGCATAGTACAACCTTGTCGATGTT